CCCCAAAACCCCAAAACCCCAAAACCCCAAAACCCCAAAACCCCAAAACCCCTTTGCCAGTCAAAAATATTGATTTAACAAATATAATAATAATATTTAAATTATTGATGGAGCCAGATAACATCGGCACTGAAGTGAGCTACCCGAAGAAGCCTACGTTCAAAGTTTTGGTAAGTTTTTGGGATTTAGTGGTATGGGTGTGATACGTGTGGGATTTTATATGCAAATATACTTCTTTAGGAATTTTAGACAATTTTGACTTTGCTCTATAGCTCAAATGACTAAATGATGATAGCAAGTGGGATCAGAATGATCTTGATGAGGAACAAAAACAGTTTCCTAAGTATAGAGATATGGACATCCAGACTGACTATACCCTCTCTGATATAGAAAACTTTGAGGTATATAAAGATTGGTATGTCAAGGAGAGCTGGTCGGCCTTTGCTCAGATTGCGAAATTTCGAAAGGAAATTATCAGAGAAATTAAATAAGGATTATATCAAGAAGGCTTATTTCAAAATTTCAAAGAAGTACTCCAAACAAGTCAAGGGAATCAATTCTATGTCTCCTATACAACGTAAGAGGTTTAAAACTGGAGAGAACGAGGAGTTAGAGGGCTCTTCTTCTCAAGATGGGTACAGTGAAGCTTTTCTGAGGAATTCCCTTCAGAAAACATGAGAAATTGTCATAAAGACAAATCGACTAAATTTAGATAAGAAAAAAATAAAAGAGCCTAGCTATCAAGACACTCTACAGGAGTTCAGCTGTCAGGCGTACATGCAGGTTCCATCACAAACAAACGCAGTAACATCACCTATCTCGGATGGAATTCAGACATTCTTAAAAGTTGACTCTAAAGACAGAAATATACAAGCTACCACTTGTGGGACTGTTATGACTAGTACTCAGACTTTTTCGGACTGAACGGCAGGACTAGATGTGTCTCTCCAATTCCCTTCAAACTCAACTCTTCAGACCAGGTCAAGGCCTGAAGAGGAAGAAAGAAGTGGTAAGGTTTACAAAGATGTAGCCATCTAGTTATTTATAATTTTCAGTCTTTTCCTCATGGAATGGGGTTTTGGGGTTTTGGGGTTTTGGGGTTTTGGGG